ATTCTTGGGGACCACGTGCATATCTTGTTCCTCAACTGTCAGTTATTCACCCAGTGGTTTTCGCATTCATCTTTTTTTTTTTTTTTTTTTGCGGTACGCGGGCCTCTCACTGTTGTGGCCTCTCCCATTGCGGAGCACAGGCTCCGGACGCGCAGCCTCCGCGGGCCGTGGCTCACGGGCCCAGCCGGTCCGCGGCATGTGGGATCCTCCCGGACCGGGGCACGAACCCATGTCCCCTGCATCGGGCAGGCGGACTCTCAACCACTGCGCCACCAGGGAGGCCCTCGCATTCATCTTTGATCCTTATGTGAATCAGTTACTATGTTGGTGGTTGCAATATGGTACTAACTGAACTTTCGAAAGTCACTTTACTGGAGAAAAATTCTCCTTCTCATTCCCATCCCTATTTGGGAAAAATCTAGGCCCCAAAGACAGATGGCAGAGGAGTTGACAAAAGGGAAACTTGTAAGCAACTATCCAAAAATATATGTCTGAAGTGTTTTCTTTGTGAGTGAGTGTATAGTAAAGTTCTAGGAGAGAGAGAGAGAGTGTGTCTTTTAGTTTCGGGGATTTGCCCTTAAAATAATAAATCCTTAAGATTTATTAAGGATTTATGATGCAGATGAGGAAAAACAAAGTAAATTGTCATTCTGATTTCCTTCTAGACTGAGAGAATTCAATAATAATGAGGCGAATTTTCATTCAACCCAGCCACAATCTGAAAAGATATTGATATTTGCCCTCCCATTTGAAAATACTCAATGGTTCTTTATAAAGCATGTTAGATTGAAATCAAATGGGCATCAAAACCATGAAATTCCTATGAAAGGTGGGATAGTAAACAGAAATTGTTTCGTAGGGGGGCTTTCTTGATCTAGGCTTATAATTCTTTTAAGATTTATCCTAAGGCTTTTATACCTGCTTTGCTCATGACTGACTCAGTGACTCAGTGTTATCTGATGAGGATCTTGTTTCACTTTTGAAAGCACAGTGTTGTTCTCTCTGTTGTGGTAGTACGGGGTAGCAGGAGAAGATTGACTCTGGGCGGTGCAATTGAAACCCCCCCCATCCATCTTGAGATTAGAGAGTACCCTGCATGCAATATCAGTTCTCCTGCGTGCAGTTCATAATGAAAAGACCTAGTTTTGAAGCATGTAACTATCCCTCCTGCCTAAACAAAACTATTCTTAAATATAGGGGTAATTATCAGCACTCTCTATGAATTCATTTATAATTTGCTTTATTTTTCTTTTCATTGTTTTGTAAGAGGATCTTGGACACTATTTTTGTGACCAGGTAGACCTTGGACTCCTGCATCTTTTTGAGCCATGAATTTTCACATTATGTTCTTTAAGCCTGGAAAAATGACTTGCCCGTATTTTGCTGGTATAGTATGATCACACGTTTCTCTCATTGAGATCTTGCTGAGTGAAAAATTGGTGTGGCATGAGATGGTCTATAAAATTTACATTAACCTATATCCCAATTCTGTGTTTGGAGATAGCTGAATACTCCTTGCATTTGTTTGATAATTTCTTACCCTGCATGCTGGCTTATATTATGATGTTGTTATAGATTCCAGAATATGAATATTTAAGGCAAAACCTTGCTAATTCAAGCATCTGAACTTTATGGGTCTCAAGGTTGAGCAATTCACTTGAAGAAATTAGACTGGCATGTGCCCGGCAAGCACAGTCATTCTCCTAGAATCTTGAGGTTTCTGCAGAGCTAGAGTCTCTCCATGGCCACGCCCAGTTTGCTGTCAGTCCACTTGGTGTGTAGTGGCCTCCACCAGCCCTTTGGACACGACACAGAGCAGAGAACCTGGTCCTAGGTTGGCATGTAGCTAAGAGCTTCATAGCATATTTGACGCTGTAATAAATGAGGAGGTACTGAAATAGTTCCTATTTTTAAACACTTTGACTCACTTTCTAAGATGTAGCACAACCCCAAGGAATATTTAGCATTCCAATTCTTTATAAAAAATATTTATTACAGGGGCTTCCCTGGTGGCGCAGTGGCTGAGAGTCCACCTGCCAATGTAGGGGATGCGGGTTCGTGCCCTGGTCCGGGAGGGTCCCACATGCCGCGGAGCAGCTGGGCCCGTGAGCCATGGCCGCTGAGCCTGCGCGTCTGGAGCCTGTGCTCCGCAACGGGAGAGACCACAACAGTGAGAGGCCCGCATACCGCAAAAAAAAAAAAAAATATATATATATATATATTTATTTATTTATTACAAAGGCTTGTAAAGTGCATTGCTTGAATCGTAGAGGTGGGTTCATACTTGTCAAGCAGGTTTATACAACACTGAAAAATAAACACAAATATGTCAGAAATCTTACAAATGAACAGGGCTTCTTATTCAGTGTGGGCAATCTTAAAGGGAGTTTTTGGGTGAGTTTTTCTTAGAGGTTGACTTAATTACTAGAGAAAGAATTGAGCAAAGCAACAAGACTGGTTACCAGCGCCATGACGGTAGGAGATGTCATCTTTCTTTTAGGTGTATCATGGTGTCTGGTTAAAGCAACAGTAAGGCTCCACGTATATTTGTTGAATTAAATTTTCAAATTAGTTGCTAAATTCCTCTGGTCTTAGGTTTCTCAATCAAGGTCAAGCCACCTCACTTGACTTTTCACAGATTGCCATTTTCTCTTCTTCCTGTCTCCCCCCTAACTCTCCTTTCCTGCTCTTAACCCTGCTGGCCAGTGACTTTTGACTTAAGGAATAGCAACTCTAAGCTGTTGTTTTTCATTTTCAAAGAAAACTGTGTAGGAAAAAAGAGAAATAGGACATATTCAAATCATTAAAAAGATTATATAGAGACAGAGAGATCACTCTGTACCAGACACTGTGTTAAGATCTTGCAGTGAAAAGGAACCGAGACCTGGTGCTTGCCCTCAAGAGGTCGGAGTCTGTAGGTAAAATAGTCATATCAAGAGAGTTGAAAAGTACAAGTCATGGTGTGAGGGTAGGGACTGGGGGACAGCTTAAGTAAAGTTGACCATGTCAACTGGAAGAATCAGTCTTGGCCTCATAGCGGCCCTAGAGCAGGGTCTTTAAGGATGAGTGCCCCAGGCAATGTGGACTTGAGAAGGCATTGGGGGAATTCTCCAGGGAATGGAGAAGGTAATTCCTATGTTTGTGTATTGGCTCTTATGAGAAGCAAGACAGTTGTTCTGTTGGGGAATTTGGAGAGTATAGATTAAAAGAAGAGCTGGGAGAAGAAAAGGGCAGGCACTGTGAATGCTAGTAGATGTGGTGGATATGCCATGGCTTGGGAAGGAGGGGCAAAGGTTGCCTCTGGAAGGAGGTGAATAAAAGTCATGGAACGGGTAGGGTAATGGGACTCAAAGTCTTGGTGAAGTCAAGGAGTAGCTGAAGGTGGCGGAGGGCATACACGTGAGCTAGTTGAATGGGAAATATTCTCAGAGAGGTGGATAAAGTGAGGAGTCTGGCTGTGCAGAGATTCAGGATGTGACCATGAGCATATACTGCTAAGAAGGCCCTGCTCTTTGATTCCTTCCTTCCCATGGTGCTGTCTTTCCGGGGACAATATCCTCCCCAGTGTCTCTCATGTATAACCAGCCAGGATCGCACACCTTAACTCCATGCCAGTTTCTAAAGTCCTCCACCTTAAACTAACCACATTTCTGACTCAAGCAACCTCATATATGAAACCTTGTAAAATCAACCTCCCCATGTTGAATTGATTATTGTTTAGTAGTCAGTGTGGACCGTGTACAAACTACTGTATTACCAGCCATAACCCTTTATAGTCATATGTTTACATGGCTTTCTCTCTTAAATAATAAGGCAGCTGGAGCTCAAAGATTGAATTTGTTTTTGCTTTGTTTTTTGTAAGCTAGAAAATTATCTTGTGCTCCTATGTGCTAAATTTTGTGGGAGGAAGGAAGAGATAAAGAAATTAAAATTGTGGAAAGGAAGGAATTTGAAACCAAAGAATCATATGAACTCTGAAGGTCCTATAGGGTGGTAGCAAAAGCTGAAGGAGGGCCCTTGAGTAAACCTGAGGGTGAATAAGGAGGATGGTGGTGGTACCCGGGAGGTGAGGTGATAACAATAATAGGGGCTAAAAGTGTGATTACAGCCTTCCTCAAAGAAGCTGACGTTTATTGGAAAGTTTAGTGACCATTGTAAAGGAATTTCAGAGGGCACAGTGGGGAATGGACTGGGAGGGAACTTGGTTGAGTCAAGATCTGCTGAAACCCATAACTTTTTGTAAATATTGCTTCTGTGTGGGAAATATTTCAATGAGAATTGACTCAAACTCTCACTCTTGGATGTTCCTTGGATCAGGGCTTCTGGGGATATCCTCAGGAGAATGAATCATAGCAATAACATTAGTAATGATATTATTCAAGTGCTTACATTATCTCATTAATTCTCACAACAGCCTTATGAAGTCTGTATTATTACCTTCCCCATCTTATGAATAAGGAGAGTTAGGCATTCCCGATCCTCGCATTCCTCCTAAGTGGGCTACTTATTCTAGCCAAGGCAAGGTGCACTAGAACCAGTCAGGTCTTCTGGGAACATCAGATCCGCCGCCTTGAACGCCTGACACTGCCAACTGAACTTAGCTTCCTGAGGGACTTGGTATCCTCTGCCACTTGCTTGAGTCCTGCAGGTTCAACCAAAGCCATCCTCCCATGTTGGGAATTTGATGGGTTGTACTGCTGCCTTCAGAAAGTGGGGATTTGGATGAATGATAAAATAGGTTAAAATATATAAAGTGAAATAGGGTGAAATACAGAAAGAAGTGGGGAGAGGAGGAAAAAAGAATGCCTTCAGGTTAGGAAGGATGATAATACTGAAACTTCCCAGAGAATATATTTCCGTCTTCGGGCCAACATATAAACTTTCAGCCTGAGCCAGCATCTTGAGCTGGGAGCGGAAGACATGGATAACAAGAATATGTATTTTGTTTATTGGGGAAAAAATAGCTCATGGGGATTGTAGAATAGGGGCTATCAAAAAGTTTAAAAATCTGGCGTTATGGGGTGGCCTAATTCGAGGGATTCTTGAGGCTGGATTCTCTTGCTTCTGTGAGAGAGTCGTTTCTTTTGTGCTAGCTGACGGGGGCTCTCAGTGGCCTTCTCGGGGTGCTCTCTCCCCCAAAATGAAGGGAGGACTTGGTGCCTTAGCCAGCGGAAGATCCACCCGAAGTTCAGACAGGAGAGGGCTTGTGTGCTGGAGTGAGTGTCCTCCTTCTCTTGCGGACCTGATGAGATTGAGGAGGTCTCTGCAATACTTGTCCTTTGGCTGCCAGTCACCTGGCTTAGTATCTGCCAAGAAAATGAGTTTTAGATATTGTGTAACCTAGACAACAGTGGGATCAATATTTATCCATTTATGGAGCTCAAATCCTTTAACCAAAAGTGACCCAACGGTACATGCACAGTTTCAGTACTCATTAATACACACACACACACACACACACACACACGCACACCTATTTTGGTCATAATTCTTGGCTTTTTCTTTACTTTCCTACCCTCTTTTCTGCCTTGGTGCTCCTCAGTATTTTCCCTTCAGCTCCACTCTGACCCTTTTACAGCAGGTAGTAATTCTCTGTGCATTCCCACCTGGCCCCTCCGCCAGGCCTGGCCCCTCCGCCAGGCCTGGCCCCTGCTTGCCTGTGAGGCACCTCTGTGCTCACTTCGGCAAGCTCCTCTTTCTGAAGCCTTGGAGGAATCTGTGGAAACTGGATGACATCTTCATTTTCTGATGGGTTGAACTTGGCCAAGTGTTGACAGCTCTCATGTTCTTGATGACTAACCTGAGCCATACCTGGAGGGGAGCTGCTAGACAGCTGAGAGTCTTCCTGCTGAACAGATTCATGGAACACACAGTCCTCATCTTCGTCATCTTACTGGTTCTCAAGAAATTTCTCAAGCTTTTGCACAAGACCGTCCAGTTTGCTGAGAGTCAGTTATGTCTTCTCTTTGGGCTACTTGTCTATCCACTGGTTGTCTCCACTTAGGTCCAATTAGCCATCGAGTCTGAATTCTTAGAGGCCATGTCAACATCCCAGGCCAGGGCGATTCTTAGTTTGCAAAACTGCTCTGGGTCGTCCTGTATTTGGTCTCATCTCCCCAGGAGTCTCCCTATGTTTTCAGTCTGCCATGTCCCTTGGATAGGAGGGACAAAGTGGATTGAAGGACCTTCAGAAAATGTGTCTTCACAGGAGATGATGTTCTCATAGGAAAAGTTGTCCTCACAGGGGAAATAGCCCACAGAGAGACTCAGGTTTGATTCGGAGCTGCTGGAGAATGAGTGCGCCGTGGAGTTCAAAGGCGCAAATCTCAGGTCTCCCTCATCCCAGGGATCTTCAAAAGAAAGAAAAAATAAGTGGGATTGGGGAAAAGAAGAAGGTAAATAACGGTACTTACGCAATAACGTTACGCATTCCTTTTTCTATTCGGAGCTATCGCATTCTGATAGAAGTTCATCCTGTTTTGCAATCTGCAGTGAAGAATGAAAGAGACAGCCCTCTCCCTTTCAAAACCTGTTCTATACGACCCTCCGTACCAAGCATCTTCACGGGACGCCTCACATCATGTTACTACAGCTGCAAGAACTTGTATCATAAAAGAAAACTATCATCATGGTATAAAATTGGAAAAATATAAAAAAGGATGAGGATCAAAATAAACATGCCTGTGATCCCCCCTGTCCAGAGATAATGATAATCATCATGAAAACATTTTGGTGGACTCCCTTATAATCTCTTCTTTTTCTTTATATGTACTTATACGTATATGTGTGTGTGTGTGTGTGTGTGTGTGTATATATATACATATATATATATGTGCAGTCACATCACATATATATGTAGATATGAAAGTCACATTGGTTGAAACTGAGATTATTATATTTTATGGCACAACCTACAATAAACATATATATGGCTATTCTGTCACTTTTCACCACTTTCTTATTAATGACCATTAGTAGTTATTATTCTTAATAGATAAATCTTCAGTAAACTCCCTTGTTAATCTTTGTCTCTCTTTATATTCTTAAATGTGGGTTTAATGGATCAAAGATCACAAATGTATTAAAGGATCCTTAATAGTTGTTACCAAATTGCTTCCCAGAAAGATTATAGCCATTTAGATGCCCATCCTCCCACCATCTGATGGCACTTTTTAGTGCAGCTTTTTCTATGATGCCCCAGTAAGTAACTGGGGCAGAGGGTAAGAATACTCACACGCATGCACGCACATGTTGTAGTCTCTGTAATGCTCTGCTCTGGTGGCTGCCCTCGTGAAAGAGGTGCTGCCAACTCCTGAGCCATAAACCGGGGAGGTGAAAAATCCTTCAGACCCTGAGTCTCAGTGGCTAAAAGTCCAACTGCCAGAAGTCTGTGTTCTGGGACTGTTGGTTACCATGGCAACACAAGGACCCAAGTTATAGTCAAAAATGTGGGAAGAGAGAAAAAAGGGATAGGAAGCTGCAGTAGCCAGTGCCTTGCTCCCAAAATATCCTGTATCCGTATCATCCCGGCTGATGAGGATCCCTCTCGAGGGCAGAAGGACAAATACCGTGGCGGTTACTTCCCTCTTGTCATGTGGGTGTCCAGGATAGTTCTGGTCTAGAGGGAATTTAGAGCCTATTTGGGGAAACGGACATAAACAGCCTCTTATAGGACTGAATGGTAAGTGCAGCAACAGAACTTAAAAATAATGTCATGGGAGAATGGAAGAAGGCGCCTTGCGCAGCCGGGCAGAGATGGGGGAGGGGGGGGTCTGAAAAGTCTCCAAGAGAGGATTCCCTCTGATCTCAGTATTTAGGGGGGTGTGGAAGTTAGTGAGGTGGAGGGTGGGGAGGGGTTGGGGGAGAGGACCTTTCAGGCAGAGGGGACACGTGAGCAAGGATCCCCCAGGTGAGAAACAACCAGGAGTGTGGGGAGATCAAACATGAGGAGGTAAACAGGGTCAGTGAGATGGTGGAAGGTCTTCCACCCCTGTTAGGGAACTTGGTTTTTATCCTGCAAGCCTGTACTTGGATAGAAGTTTCATTTGTCAGGCATTCTTCCAGGTAATTCAAAGTATATTGGATACTCGACATGATTAAAACAAGCAAACCAAACAGAACTTCCAGTGCACTTGGCAGCATGAATGTTATCAGTTGGCTTTCATGAGAACGGTGTCAGTAGGTTTGCAGTGGGTTGAGGAATGGATGGGAGGAGACGAGGTGGGAACAGTGAACCTAGACCATACTTCAGCAGTGTCTGGATGACAAAGTGAGAGGGGGAGGCAGAGGCAAGGTTAGTTTCCGCACCCACGCCCCAAATACAAAAACGGTGCATAGTCAGTACAGGGGGAGAGTTTCAAAACCTAAACGGTTGGCTGCTGCTTTTGGAGAGAGTAAGGGTGGGATCCGTGGCATGGACAGGGGGCTTGGTAGTAATAAAGGGAGTGTGTTATTTCCTGGTATTAGAAGGAAAAAAGTGAAGACGGTTGTGGACAAGTTTGGAGGAATGCATCATTGAGGACCTCTGTTTTCTACTTTGAGTGTCCCAGCTAGGCTTCTGCCTTATTCCTGAGATTGTCTGCACGGTTTTAAACCTGTTACCTGGATCTCTGTCCTCGTTGTCCTTGTTTCCTTGTTCCCAGTGTTATCTCCTTTGATGGCCTCTTCAGTAACATGAGCTGCCTTGGTTTTTCTACAATTAGAGCTTTGCTTTTCCTTGCCATCTTCCTCTAGGCGCCTCTGCTGCTCACCAAGTCCTCCCACCTCCCAGTCTACCCTTCCCTTCCCAATGGCATCGTGGAATTATGTGGGATTGGTCAGGTCTCAGTGGGTACTTTGTAGGTGGGGAAGTAAATCGTTCATTGTCTGTTTCCAAATGTACAAATTCTGAGGACAAATGTGGGTCGTGTAGGATTGAAGGCTGTCAGTTGCAGAGACTAAACAAAAAATAACCTTTTCTAAGAGCAAAATCATCTTGGCAAATGTAGTTACAGCCACTGCCAGCCTGGTCTAAACTGTGGGGCTATGGGGTACTGTTTTTCCGTCAATTCAGTGATTCTCAGGAAGGGAGTAGGGCTTCCACTCAAGTTTCCAAGGAATGAAGTGTGTGTGTACTTGGAAAAAGCATGTTCTTTTTTTTTAAAAAGTTTTTTTCCTTGGAGTGTAGTTGATTTACAATGTTGGAAAAGCATGTTCTTAAATTAACATTGCTTAGATATGCTTTTGGTCACTTTTTTTAAAATTTCAAGTTTCAAACAGTATTAAAAGAAACCATACGGTTTTTATATTTATCCAAAAAGAAGCATGGATTTCAACACACACACAAACACACACATCCAAAAAAGGAAAAAGCCAAGAAACACTGGTGCAACTTAAAAGAACCTCAACTCATTGGAATCTGTCAGTTGCGTAAAGATCTTTTTCAAATATTTTTCTGTCTTTGTTTCCATTTAACAAGATTACATTTAAAGTTTTCTACGACTCTCAGGTTTTTTGCTGTTGTACCAGTTAAATTTCTAGGTTCTGTTAAATAAGATTGTTTTAGGTGAGTCTGTTTCAGGAGTTATGATGTCCTGATATAAGAAATAGGCAGAGTTGGAGTTGGGGAGACACCATGTGTACCCAACAGAGGCCACCTGGCAAGTGGCCACAAATCCCATGAGTGATTGGGGTTCTAGATTAATCCCAGTGGGTGTAGGTCAGGAGCAACATGCTATGCTCCCTAGCATTTATTGGCCACTTACTACATGCCAGGTCCTATTTTAAGCACTTTATATGTGCTTATTGTTTAATCTTCACAGCACCCCAATCTGTTACGTATCGTTAGTTGCTCTGTTTTACAGACAAAGGAACCAAGGCATGAGCAGTTATATTCCCCGCCCACCTCCTCCCTGAAAGATTCTTGGGAGAGTTGACTTAGGCCAAAATCAAATTTGTATTCTGGTTCCTTTAAAGAAACTCCTTTGAGTGGAACAGTGTGTTCTAAGTAAGTGGTCGGTAGAACCGGCCCAAAACAATGGCCACATCTGGGGCAGGCTAAAATGAGATTTAAAGTAAATATTCACCTCCCTCTTTGGCATAAGGAGATCTGGATCCCTGTGCTCTGGCTTTTCATGAAAACTCTGTGACCTCCTCACAGAGCAGTGGGAGCCTAGAACAGGATTCATGAGTAGCTTTCTTCCCATGCAGCTGTAGTGAAGGTCAGAGGGAAGCTGTATGCCATACCGTTACCCATGGAAATGGGACTAAACATAAATATTTAAGTAGGAAGGAACTATTTCTCAGCCTAAACTTCTAACGTTTAGAGTGATCCTGAAGGAAAAAGAGCTTCACACAGGGGAAGCCTCAGAGAAAACTTCAAATTTTATTTATTTGTACCATACTGCCGTTTCTCTGTATATTTGCTCTGTGTGTGTGTGTGTGTGTGTGTGTGTGTGTGTGTTTATATGTGTATGTACATATGTATACATATATATTTCATTTTAAATACAACTCAAGTAGTGAAAGTCCCTGAAACTCACCTTTCCTCCTGCCCCAGAAAAGGGATATCACCGTTAATTGATATATATTACATAATTTGTTCAGATACTTTTTTCCTAAAGCAACATTGAAATAGCAACGACACACGCCATCTTTAGGATGCCATGCTGAGGAGCGCATAACTTAGCTTTTACATCTAATAACAGATCAGGGGATTTGCGGTCCTCGTTAACAATACCCCTTGTGTTAATTTCTTTCCTAGGGCCTTATTTTGACTTGGTGGGCTAGCTTTTCTTGAATCACAAGTATATTATCTAAATAGTATAGCTGGCTCATCATTACCTCTTCTCTTGAAGCAAAATCATCTATAATAAAGCTCTTGAGTTTTCAAAAATGATAGTATGTTGTGAATTTACAACGTTTTAGAACTGAAGCCAGTAGTAATGGAAGTTTTGAAAATTGGAACACTTCCTCAAATCCATTTGACTTGCTGGGATTTGGAGCCTAAATAAATAGAGTGGGAAGTTTCTAACTTCGAAATTAAGCTACTGTTATGGTTAATTTTGCGTGTTAACTTGACTAGGCCACAGGGTACCCAGATATTTGGTTCAACATTATTCTGGTGTCTGTGAGGATGCTTCTAGATGAGATTAACATTTGAATTGGTGGACTGACTAAGGCAGATTGCCCTCCCTGGTGTGGGAGGGCCTCCTCCAATCCTTTGAAACCTGAATAGAACAAAAAGCTGAGTAAGGGAGAGTTTGCTCTATCTTCCCTGACTGTCTTTGAGCTGGGACGTTAGTTTTCTCCTACCTTTGGACTCAGACTGGAATTTACATCATCAGTTCTCAGGTTCTCAGGCCATTGGACTTGGACTGGAGCTACACTATTGGCTCTCCTGGGTCGCCAGCTTGCAGAGGCTAGATCTTGGGACTTTTCAGCCTCTGTAATTGCATGAGCCGATCCCTTACAATAAGCCTCTTTTCTCATTCATTTTTCTATATGTGTGTGTGTGTGTGTGTGTATGTATAGACACACATTCATATGTGTACTCTTGGTTCTGTTTCTCTGGCAAACCCAGACTAATATAGCTACTTGTTTTTCATTTTTTGAAATTATGAAATATTTTAACAATATAAAAAGATGTCATGAACCCTGTCATATGGTACACTGAGGACACAATGTCATTTTTATGGTGGTCTTGCCCAAAATGTATAATCACAGCCTAATAATGAGACAATAACTGTCACAAACTGAAGAAGACTAAAGAGAAATAACAACTAAATGCACTGTGGGATTCTAGATAGGATTATAAGAATAGGAAAAGGACATTAGTGGAAAACCTAGGGAGACTTCACTATGTTCTTTATTTTAGTTAATGGTATTGTACAAAGTTAATTTTCTGGTCTGATTATTGTAGTATGATTGCATAAGATATTAACATTAGGGGGAGTGGGGTGAAAATATATGGATAATGTGTTTGTGACTTCTCTGTAAGTCTAAAATTAGGTCAAAATAAAAAAATTTAAAAAGAATACATAAAAATATAGTAAATGATGTAACACACACCTATATACTTATAACTCAGTTTGGTCAAGTCTTAAATTTTGCCATATTTGATCCATTATTTTTTTGAAAAGAAATAAAACATTTTAGATAAAACTTAAGTCCCTTTATATCCCTTCCCTGATCCCCTTTTTTCCCGCTTCTCCCATGATTACGATCCTGAATTTGATGTTTATTTATCTTGTGCTGCTATAATATGATTTTACATATTAATATATTGTTTTACCTTTGGAGACAAAAACCAATATAAATATAAATTTACTTAATACCACTGAACTGCACACTTAAAAATTGTTAAGATGGTAAATTTTGTGTTATGTGAATTTTGCCAAAGTGAAAGAAATTTAGGGGAAAAAAAACATGGTAAATGGACTACAGGTGATGCTCTTTGGAAAAGAGGAAGTATCCATGGTTTATTTTGCTTTGCAACAATTATTGTTGACAAAGACATCCTTTTTCCAAACCAATTTCTTAGCTGAAATATTTGCAGTGTTTATCTTGGGGATTAGGGAAAGGACAGGTATAATTTCCTGTGCTCTATATGTTCATTCCCAAACAGACAAAGCCTTATCAAAGCTCATGTACTTAATTAAAGGAGGATGGTGGTGGAAATAGTGTTTTGGTGTGAGCAAAGTTAAATGGTGCTTTCACATGTTCGGTCATTTAATTTTCATGACAGTCCTCTGAGTTGTGTGTTTTCATCCCAGTCTTAACTTGTGCAGTTCATATTACCCAGATCTGCCTCCAGAGTCCAGAGGCCCTCTGGAGCTAGGTTGCTGCTGCTGGGAACCAACCTCAGCTGATTTGTTTCTACATCACTGGTGAATATGGTTAGTCAACAAGGAACAGTAGATGAGAACTATACGTTTCCTTTCCCCCAACTTCATCACCCAGTATGAAAGAAACTCACAGGTTGAATTCTGCCACACACACAGCATATAATGGCAAACAAGCATAAAAACATTATAGTGTTGTTTTGTAAGCTCCAGAATTGTGCTGCCCAGCAGGGTAGCCACTAGCCACATGCAACAATTAAAATTAAATTTTAAAAAATGGTTCTTCAGTCATTCTAACCACATTTCAAGTGCTAAGTGACTACCTGTAACTAGTGGCTACCTTATTGCACAGGGCAGACAAAACTTTTCCATCACTGTAAAAGTTCTGTTGGACACAGCTGCTCTGGAAGGTCCCGTGGTCTGTCCTCTCGTGCATTTGGATAGCACTGTGAAAGAAAAGTTTTGTTAGAGGCAGATGGAACAATCCTCTAGCTAATCTATCAGGATTTAGCTAACTTTCATGTCAGGATCAGGTGATAAAATTTCCTCCAAAGTGTCTAGAAATAGGACTAGTGGGAATCTTTAGCTGAGGGTACCATTTTGAAAGGTTTAGACAACTGGGTTGGATAGAGTCTTATATTCAGTTTATGCAAGAGAGGGAATATTTGTACAATACTTAGAGCCCATTGTGAACATCATTTGATCAATGAAAAATCATGTACGGCAGCCATTATGCTGTGAGAAACATAGTTGACTGGATTTTCTGTTTATATGAGCTTTTGATTAGTCATTCAAATGCTGACTGCCCCAGAGTACAGGTTAAAAATAATTATCACCAGGCTTCCCTGGTGGCGCAGTGGTTGAGAGTGCGCCTGCCGATGCAGGGGACACGGGTTCGTGCCCCGGTCCGGGAAGATCCCACATGCCGCGGAGCGGCTGGGCCCGTGAGCCTGCGTGTCCGGAGCCTGTGCTCCGCAACGGGAGAGGCCACAGCGGTGAGAGGCCCTAGTACTGAAAAAAAAAAAATAATAATATTTATCACCTTTGCTAACTTGTTCATGTTGAAGTAATTTGAAAAATCGCAGACAGTATAATAGCCTGTGTATAGATTGTCTCATTTAGTCTTTACAACATCCCTTTGCAGTAGGCATTGCAGGTATTAACCTCATTCGGGGCTTGATTGAATTCCCCACGGTCCTGTGGCCAGGCTATTACACGACGGAATCAGTTTCTTTTTTCATTGAATGAGAACTCAGTGCAAATCGTTTGTACAATTGCCAAACAAAAGCATATAACTTTTCTTGTTTTATTTCTTAATGTCAAGGCTCATACCTACTTCAGGCCAAGACTGATAGTGCCTCGTGCAACACCAAATACAGAGAACCTATAATCCTTTCCTATCTCTCTGTTAAAATATGTCCTGTATTTTTCAGTTTTTTTTTTTAATAAACAACTGCATGCTTTCCATTTGAGTGCTCTATCAAGTTCCAGGCCACTTCTAGCAGCAGCAAAGTCATTTTCAACCTGAATTTGCTTAATCCATAAAGTAGCGATAATAATGTCTTCTTTGCAGAGCTTTTGTAATGATTGGAGATTATATATGTGGGATGCATGGCAGTTGGTTTATTTTCATTGCATCACTGAAGAATCTGCAACATCCTCCTCTTTTACTGGCATTGCCCCTCTGGGAAAAATGTTTTTATTTTATTTTAAAATTTAAAATATAGACCCGTTGCCAACTCTGATCGTGTATTAAAATCATGTGTGCGTTTAATAACTATACTTGCGTTATGGTTATCTGAATGTCTCCCCTCACTGGTTGGAGCCTCCAGAAGGGCAAGGCTGGTCCCTGTCATTCTAGGTGGTGCCTGCATCCTCCAGCAGGTGCCAGATCTGCTAACCTGTCTGGGATTCTGGTGGTCATAGGGAGCCATCTTTCCCAGTGTGTAACTTACAAGGGAGCAACACTGGAAACTTTTCCACTTCTAGTGTATCTTCCAGTTGGGGTGGAAATACCCAGAAGGGATCTTTTTGGGGCTAAGCATTGGTGAAATGACTGTCATCCCATCTGGATGTTCAGATGACATAGATGCAAATTGTTGAGGCCAACCGTTGTTCTCCCTTTGATACCATTCTAAATTGGGTAGATGGTTTCCTTGGTGGAAGAAATTTTCCGCAAGAAATTTTTGGGAAAGGATGGGGAGGATGTAGACTCCACAGGTGCTTTTAGTTACCTCGTTAGCATTTTGCTACCTTTCCTTAAAGGACTAGCAGTAAAATGCTCAAAATGCAAAGACCTTTGTTCACATTCTCTAGGGGATTGCAAAGGAAAGGGGTGAAGGTGGGAGCCAGGGATTGGAAATCTGAGGAGATGAGTTCAAGGTTGATTATCTAGAAGGACTGGAGAAGAGTTCAGAGGCAGATAGGAGCTGGCCTCCAGTGTTGTTCTTATATTCTGGAAAATCAGAAAGATGGTGGAAAGTATCTGAAGAGTGAATGAAGCCTGAACGTGAATAGGAGCAGGAAATGTGAATGCCAATTATAATAGTTAACTTCAGTTTAATTAGAAGGGGATCAGAAGAAAAGCAGAATGGGAACAAGTGAGCCGGGGGTGCGGTGGGATGTGGACTGGATGTCTGTCTGCATCTCTCTGGCCATTTTCATCAGCCACCACAGAGTTCCCACCAGTAGATACTGCCTGCGGCCAAAGCCTCCTGTCCTGCTCTCCCTCCCACCTTTAAAGGGTTTATGGATTCAGTGCCTTATATTTCTGTCCAACCTTTTCTTAGCACAGATAAAGCTTCTCTCCACTCCCCTGAGGCTGAATACAGTTAAGCTATGGGGGAGGTTCCCCACCTCTGGCTCAGATCTCCGGCAGCATCTGTGAACGGATACTGTTGTATGTCTGCACAGTGGTCTCCATTTAGTTATGAACCACTTGTGCACGTCTCCTTCTGGAAGGCAGTTTGTTACCCAGAATGCACTTGTGGTGGCCTACCAGCTTTGGAACTGGTTAATGAAAATGACATTGGTTAATGAAAATGACATTGGTTAATGAAAATTGTAGGAAATGCTCAGGCAAGACTTCTTCAGATCTTTTAATGTTAAAAATAGCTTTTTAAGAGAGCTATAAAAACAGTACAAGATGATTATGGAAAATTAGAAGATACAAGGCAAAGAGAGGAAATCCTTTTAAAAGCAAAACTTTAGGGATGGAAATCAGAGCAGTGGTTGCCAGAAGCTGGGAGCAGGGAAATGATATCTGTTGTAAGGGGACCAGAGGGTGCTCTTTGGGGGATAGAAATAATCTATATCAGCATTGTCCACCAAAAATGTAATTTGAGCCAGAAATGCAAGCCAGTAACTTTTTAACTTTTAATTTTCTAATAGGTACATTAAAAAAGGAAAAAGAAACAGCTAGAATTATTTAATCTGTATTATATTTAACCCAATATATGGAAAATATTATAATTGCACCATATATTAGTAAGATTTTTACATTCTTTTTAAAGATTTTTTTTGATGTGGAACATTTTTAAAGTCTTTATTGAATTTGTTACAGTATTGCTTCTGTTTTATGTTTTGGTGTTTTGGCTGCAAGGCATGTGGGATCTTAGCTCCCTGACCAGTGACTTAACCCACATCTCCTGCACTGGAAGGCGAAGTCTTAACCACTGGACCGCTAGGGAAGTCCCTAGATCTTTTGCATTTTTTTAAACCAAGTCTTTGAAGTCTGGTGTGTATTTTACGCCTCGGAACATCTGATCTTGGACCAGGCACATTTCAAGGGCCCTGTAGCCACATGTGGCAACTCTACTAGGCAGCACAGCTCAACATTGTTTTGGTGGTAATTACACGATCGTGTACATTTATCAAAACTCATTGAATTGCGAAAAAAATACATGCACCCCGATGTTCATAGCAGCACTGTTTACAATAGCCAAGACATGGAAGCAACCTAAATGTCCATCGACAGATGAATGGGTAAAGAAGATGTGGTATATATATACAACGGACTATTATTCAGCCATTAAAAACAATGAAATAATGCCATTTGTAGCAACATGGATGGACCTAGAGATTATCATACTAAAGTGGAGTAAGACAGACAAAGACAAATATCCTATGATATCACTTATATGTTGAATCTAAAAAAATGATACAAAGGAACTTATTTACAAAACAGAAATAGACTCACAGACACAGAAAACAAACCTATGGTTACTAAAGGGGAAAGGGGGTGAAGGAGGGATAAATTAGGAGTTTGGGATTAATAGATACACACTAATATATATATAAAATAGAAAAACAACAGGGTCCTACTGTATAGCACAGGGAACTATATTCAATATTTTTTAATAATGGAAAAGAATCTGAAAACTAATACATATATATATATAACTGAATTAGTTTGCTGTACACCTGAAACATTGTAAAGCAACTATACTTCAATAAAAAATAAAAAGTTAAAAAGTTAATGATTATGTAATTTTTAAAAAAACTCATTGAATTGTATACCTAAAAAGGATGACTTTTGCTTTATTTAAATTTTATATCAATTTAAAAAAACCATTTTCCTGCTAGCCAGAATGAGCCATGAACATCTATTAAAATTATCCTCTTAAAATGCATCTCAGAAATGGAATTTGGCAATTTTTTGAAAATGGAAGTTATAAAAGCATACATTAGAACCACCCAAGGCTAGTAATTTTTGTAGACTTCAGATGTATATGTATGTGGTGGGGGGTGTGTCTGTCTGTTTTTCCATTACACAGCTCAGTTTAGAAAGGGCTGGTGAAAATTGAATTAGTGCAATTTTAAAAAAAGGGTTTAGATGTCTTTGACAAAATAAAGATGAAGACAAATTGTTTTGAGAAAGGCCCAGTGCTAATTCTAGGAAAGAGCTTGTCATTTTCTCTTCTGTTTCATGGCTACTTCTCTTGCAATGGTATTAAAAATCACTTCTCTCTTTCTTCTGCTTCTGTTATGTAACCTGCTTTGTAGTAACTATTTTGACAGTGGATCTGTCTGTCTGCAGGCGTTTTGGGGGTGTGTTGGGGGGGGGACAAGGATGGAGCTCATGTACCCACTCGATGGGAGGAGGTTGGTGGGGCAGCTGGTTGTGGGAGAGTAAGTTTAACTTTCATAACTAAAGCCGGGAAATATTTTTGGCTGTGGAAAGATGTGTCACTAATTATAAATAATGTCTTTTGCCTTTTGGCAGGTATTTTGGTATTTTCTTTTTACACCTAAAATTCTATGTTTACATTTTGTTGAAGCTAAGGTACACATTAACAATTTCCAAATAAATACTTCCAAGAGAAATAGATGAAAAGGATATCTTCTAAATGGCCTGGGTATCTGGACTGACAATAAAAAGATAAAATTCATTGGGGCTGAAAAGTCAATTCCATAAGTGTAGGCTGGGGAAGACACCTGATAAGAAATTATCCCACAGTATTTGTAGAGGGCAAAGTGTGATACCATTGTTTCAAAACTTTACAGTCTGCAGGATACATTTAAGATGTAGACCACAGGTTAGGAACAAGATAAGCTCTTGTCTTTTTGTTTTATTTTAGTTCAGGTCTTAGTTAAGTGTTTTGTGTTCAAGAAGCAATTCATCTAAGTTTGTAGTTAACAAGATGAATCTCATCTACAGCAGGGGTGATGGAATTTCAATGTGCATTGAAGATGCAGTTTCCTGTCCTCGGAAGTTTCTAGTTTAATAGACTAGAGTTGGGGCTTAGAATCTGTCCTCTCAACATACACTTGCCAGTAGACTCCACCTTGAGAAACACTGATCCAGAACAGCTGTTTAGATTTGATTGGATTTTCTCTCTATATTAGACACACTATGGTGAACTCACATAAAAGGTAGGATCCTGTTGGGAAGGTGCTAACGTAGCTTATAACACAAGGCCGCATTCCAAGTGGTCCAGATGGAATGAAGTGAGGGAGCTCAGAGCGGGAGGGCAGTGCCACCCACAGTTGACTCAAGGATGTGGGTAGGATTCAGGTTAGTGGAGACAAAACTGGGTGTCCAGGCACCTTGAGGGAGATAGTGTGCAACCCAGAAGGGAGACGGCATCACCTGGGGAAGGAGCCTTACTTAGATGTTGACTATGATTTTGGAGTGCCAAGGAAATTTTAACAGGAAAAAAGAATTATGAAAATAAGGAAGCAACACGTGAAAGAAACCTGATTGATTCTTGTCAGTGGTCCTTAAACTTGAATGTGCATTAGAATCACTTGGAGGATTTGTTAAAGTATAGGTTGCCGAGGCCCACCCTCAGCGTTTCTGATTTCGTGGGTCTGGGCTGGGGCCTGAGAATTTTCATTTAAGTTCCCAACTTCTGCTGATGCTGCCTGGTCTGGGAACCACACCCCGAGGCTCACTGCTGTTAATGAATTTGGTGTCTTGATTTATCAAGAATCCACGGATGAAGACTGGAAGAAATCCCAGGGGCAAGATGGATAAGGAGATGGCCATCAACATGTTATGTGGCCTAGAATGCCTACCACTTGGGCTGTCTTTTCCCCTTTTTCTTCTGAGATTTCTTTACACTCAGAGCAACTGATCAAACCAAAAATACCCTGGGGGCGGGGTCAGGAATGTGGTCATAGAGAATAATTTGAGAACTATAAACGTGTATTCATCATATGCCCAGAGAACTTCCAAAACCCTGATTGAAATTGTATCATCTTTGAGGACCAGCATTTACTAGACTATTCACCCACTGCTTTATGGGAATCTCAACTCTAAAACTGAACTCATGACCTTAACCCCTCAAACTTGCTCCTCCTGCAGTGGTCTTTATAAATGGCATCATCCTCTGGCCAGTTTTTTGTGTCATAGGCTGGACGTGATCTGGGACATTATTCCTTCCGTCTCACACTTAAGCCTGCATCTAATCATTCACAAAGTCCCATCAAT